TCATCTCTCTAGTGTCCAGAAGAGCTCCATTCAGAGGCAGAGACCTTGGGGAAACAGCACATTGCTTTCTGGGAACAACTACTCCAGAGAAGGCCCTGGGGCCTGCTTGGTTCCCTTGCAGTCTCCCCCTTTGCTTCTTTTCTGTGTATTCCGTGGAAATCTAGCTCTGCTGTTTTCAAGAAGGGGGTTCTCGATCCCTAGAAAGGGAAAGATGAGGAGCTGCTGGCCCAGTTCCTGTGGGATTTTATGAGTTTAAGATACTGACTGCCCCTCACTGGAAGTGCCCTGCTGTGTGTTTGAGGGTGAAAGGTGACAATTGGCTTCTGGTTCTGGTCAGGGTTGTTGAGTAACTATCTGTTCAGAGGAACTCTCTCCAAAAGCCACAAAGCATAGGGTCAGTCATGTAGTGTATCCTTCAGTATGCCATGTTCATAGAATTATCAGCTCTGCACCTCTATGAAGTCCAAATACCTTCCCATCTTCAAAGAGAAACCCTACAATCACAATTCCTCCCCCAATCTCCCTCCCCCCAACCCAAGCCTTCCCAACCATTGCTGTCTGTCTATGGATATTGCATACGAATGGGAAAGTGCGGTACATGGTGTGGTGGTTTGAAAGAAAACGGCCCCCAAAGGGAGTGACAATATTAGGAGGTGTGTCTTTGTTGGGATGGGTGTGGTCTTGTTGGAGGAAGTATGTCATCGTGAAGGCAGGCTTTGAGGTCTCCTATATGCTCAAGATACCACCGAGTGTCTCAGACCACTTCCTGTTGCCTTTGGATCAAGATGTAGAATCCTCTAGCACCATGTCTGCCTGCACACCTGCACGTCGCCCCTGCCACCACCACCACCGCCGTATTCCCAGCTGCCGTGCTCCCTGCCCTGATGATATGGGCAGGACCTCTGGAACTGGAAGCTGCCAGCATAAGTAAATGTTTTCCTTTACAAGAGTTGCCATGGTCATGGTGTCTCTTCACAGCAATAGAAACCCTAGCTAAGACAGAACTTGGTACCAGGGACTGGGATATGGTTGTGATAGACCTGACCATGTGTTGTTTGAAGGAATATGAACCTTGGGACTGTGGATTAGAAAAGCAATTTAATACTTTAAGCCCTTCTTATGGGGCCATCCTACTTGGAACATGGAAGACAGAGGTGCTGAGTGTGATCTGAGCTGTGGGCGCCTGCACCAAGAGGTTTCTAAGGAGAAGAATTTTAGTATGTTACCTAGAAATCATTCTTGTGACATTTTGGTGAAGAATGTGACTGGTTTTTCCCCTTGTCTGAAAAGTCTGCCGGGGGCTAAAGTGAAGAGTTTTGGATTCATTCCCTTGGCAGAGGAACTCTCAAAACAGGCTAGTGTAGACTATTGTGTGGTTACTAGCCTTAACTCTAAGGAAGATTTATAATGAAAAGGAGCAAGCTGAGCAAGGGAAAATATTTGAGGGGAAAAGAAGCACTAGGAACTGGATGGAGATAAATCCTGCCTTCAAGGAGATAAACAGGTTTAGAAATGGAATAAAGGGATTGATGACCTCAGGGCAAGATCTCACCCAGCTAAATGTCCAAGGTGTGAAAAGAAATGAAAGAGCTGGGTGAGATGGTGCACACCTTTAATCCCAGCACTCCTGAGGCGGACGCTGGCAGATCTCTTGAGTTTGAGACCAGTCTGGTCTACAGAGGAAGCTCCAGAAGAACCAAGCTCAGGTAGAGAAGCTGGGCATCAGAAAAAGAAATGAAAGATCTTTTCAAGGCCAGCCTGATCTACAGATACAGTTTCAGGACAGCCAAGCTTAGGCAGTGAAGGAAACCATCAAAAACAAAAACTTGGTGAAGATGTAAGAGAATGACGGGGGGCCGTGTTCCAGCCCCAGTAAGAAGCAGAACCTGGCAGCTTTAAGCACATGGTTCTGGAGTTAAGGACAAAAAGAAAGGGGCTATGCAATTTGCCCCCATGCCTAAAGAAAGCAGCTGAGGCCAGGCATGTGTCAGGGGTGTCCCCAAGTGGAGGCCTAGAGAGGACATTGCATGAATCTGTGAAGTTAGAGCCTACAAGATGCTAGAGATGCCAGAGACCCGGGGTGCCTGCCACAGAAAACTGCTAACAGGGAGTAGAACCAGCCCAAAAGAAAGAGTGTGTTACAGCCAACAAAGCTGGAAGGAGTTGGAGGTCTGAAGTTTGATGTCAGACATGGAGATGCAGAGTTTGGAGTTTGCCTCGCTGGTTTTCAGTCTTGCTTTTGTCCAGTATTTCCTGTATGCTCCCTTCCCTATGTTTTGGAACGATAATGTATGTCCTGTGCCATTATATGTTGGAAATATATGATCTGCTTTTTGTTGGATCAACAAATATATGTTGGATATATAAATCTGCTTTTTGATTTTGATTTTACAAGTAATTACAGCTAAGAGATTGCATGAATTTCAGAAAAGACTTTGAACTGTAGACTTCTAAACAACTCTAGGACTGTTATAGACGATAGGAACTTTTGAAGTTGGACTGAAGGTGATTTTACATTGTGACTAGAAGCCTTTGGGGGATAGAGGGTGGAATGTGGCGGTTTCAAAGAAAAAGACCCCCCCAAAGGGGCATTATTAGGAGATGTGACCTTGTTGGAGGAAGTGTGTGTCCCTGTGGAGGCCTTATATGTGCTCAAGATGCTGCTAAGTACCTGAGGACACTTCCTGTTGTCTGTTGATCAAGACGTTGAATTCTCTAGCATTATGTCTGCCTGCACGCCGCCACACTCCTAGCTGCCATGCTCCCTACCATGATTATAACGGGCTAAACCTCTGGAACGGTAAGCTGCCATGGTCATGGTGTCTCTTCACAGCAATAGAAACCCTAAGACACAAGGCCTTTAGCAGCTGGCTTCTCCTCTCAGCACAGTTCTCAGAGTTCATCCACAGTGTGAACTCCGTCAATATTTCATTTCCTTCAATAACCAAGCAAAATTCTGCAGTTTGATGAGCCATTTGGCTTATTGCTGTCCACAGATGGGCAAGTGGAGCGTTCTGCCCTGAGGCTGTTAGGGTTGGCAGTAGGAATAGTGAGATTCGTGGCTGCATTTGTCATGCATATAGCTGTAAAGTTAGTTCTCTGAGGTGTGCGGCAGGCAAAGAGCTGCTGGGGCCATATGGTACCTGAAGGGATTATCAAAGTTCTCTCAGAGCGGTTTGGGAAAGACACTGTTGCTTAGGTTTGACCCTTGTGTTGGTTAAAGCAGAGGCATGTCAGAGGAGAGGGCTAATGTCTCATACAAGAGCCTGACACATCTACATGCATGCCTTCAGGATACAGTATCTTCACCCTGGCAGAATAGCATTCCTTGAAAGAGCCTAGGGACCACCATCCTGCCATTCTGGGCTGCCCACCTCATTGTGTGCTGCTTCTGCTGTGTTGTGCACACACACACACACACACACACACACACACACACACACACTTTACAACATGAGGCCTTTCACTCCATCCCCACATCTCCAAAGAAGGTCTGTCTAGTCACAGAGCTGCAAGGGAATACCCCAAAGTCCTGCTTGGGCCTCTGCTTCTCCATCGTCCAGCACTGAGAAGGAAGGCACCAGCCTGTGTTCTCCTGGGTATCCACTTCCCTGATAGTAAATGGATCCGGTAAAGAGAGAACTTGGCAGCTCCGCCACCTTGAAAAGGAATTAGGTGAATTCTGTGGTCAGACCTCCAGGTTCAGGTATCGAGACACCCACGGTGCTCCTCTTCCCAGAAGTGCTCCCTCCTGGCCCTGTGAGCTGATTACACCTTCAATGACTTCTCCTCTGTGCCATTGACGGCTCTCACTTCCTTCCACTCCTTCCCCCTCCCCATCCTGTCTCCCCCGTCATGCACCCTCCTCCCCATCTGCTGTCCACACAGGGCCTGAGGACTCTCCTGGTATGGACGCTGCGTGTCCTGGTGACCTATGTGTCCTTAGGGAGGCAGCCAGGCCGATCCTCTTAGGCCGATCAGATTATACCCTGGGTCATCTCACATCACACATGCCCAGGTCACGCTGGCATCATATACATCTAGGCAGCCTGGGTTCTGACACCCCAGAAAACGTGGACTCCCTGGAGGGGTCATGTGATCTGATACCATTTGTCTGCCTCCCTGGGTTTTGGGTTCCTTCCAGGAGCTAGAGTTTGGCAGTACGCTCACTTACAGCCATGGGGAGAGCCGGCTCTGGGAGAGAGAAGGCTGGCCCATAGCTCTGAACCATGAACCCTGCTGTATGCCATGTCCTGCTGGGCTGGGATGTGTAGGGCTAGGTGGCACCTCTCTGCTGAGGTCTAGCCAGCCACAAGTGACCTGGAACTGGGTCTCTGAATGAATGCTAGCATGAATACAGTTGTCTTGTTTGGGGATTTTGTACTGTTTTAAATAACATTATAAATATGGGATATTGCTTGGTTCACATAGGAAGTCTAAGCCTAATGCAGAAAGGGACACAGACCACAGCCTTATCCCCCTCAAGAGGAATATTTTAGGTACCAGTTAGTTGATCTGAAAAAACCAAAAAGTAAAGAAATGAGATGGCTCAGACAGGCCATACCTCACTATGAAGCAACTTCGCTGAGGGACCTGTCTCCCAGGTAACAACCTGTCAGCCAGGGTTCCTTTGATGCAATAAATACTCTGACCAAAAGCAAGTTGTGGGGTGGGTTGCTTCATTGTCAAGGAAATATTCCATCAATGAGGGGAGTCATGGCAGGAAATTAATCAGGACAGGAACCTGGAAGCAGGAACTGAAGCAGAGATCACGAAGGGATGCTGCTTACTGGCTTGCTGTGCACGGCTTGCTCAACCTGCTTTCTTATAACACCCAGGATTGCTCGCCAGGGGTGAACAGGGCCCCACCACGTCAGTCACTTGTAACATGAGGAGCCTGCTTGTTGGGGTTTCTGTCCCGCCCAATACCCCACAGCGGGCAATCCCCAAAGAAAAAAATCACACAGAGATCTCCATAAGTTATAAAACTGATTGGCTCATCACATCCCGCCTTTCACTGTCCTCTAGTCCCCACGTGCAATCCCTCCGCCACAATGCCAGTGCTCACCGTGAACACTAACGTTCCCTGCCCCTCCATGCCAGAGGGGCTTCTCTCCGAGCTCACCCAGCAGCTGGTGCAGGCCACCGGCAAGCTGGCACAGTACATCACAGTGCACATGGTCCTGGACCAGTTAATTACTTTTAGTGGCTCTAGGGAGTCCTGCACCCTATGCAGTCTGCACAGCATCGGCAAGATCCTGCTGGCCAATCGCCTGCACATCAGCCCTGACCGGTTCTACATCAACTATTACGACATGAGCGCAGCCAACGTGGACTGGAACGGTTCCACCTTCGCCTGAGTGCTGGCCTAATAACTTACCTGTACCGCTGTTCTTGGAGCCTTGCTGTACACAGCGTTCTGTTTTCGTCCACACATAGCAATGCCTACCATCCACCATCCGTTCAGGAGAAATAAATGGTTTAGAGACAAAAAAAACCCAACTGATTGGCCCATTAGCTCAGGCTTCTTGTTAACTCTTGTAGCTTATATTAACTCATTATTCTCATCTATGTTAGCCATGTGGCTCAGTACCTTTTCCAGCAGGGTAGGTTACATTTTGCTTCTCTGTGGTCTGGGCAGTAATGGAGGAATGGGCTTCCTCCTTCCTAGCATTTCCTGTTCCTCTACTTCCTGTCTGGTTGACCCACCTATACTTCTTGCCTGGCCAATCAGCGTTTATTTAAATCATGATTGACAGAATACAGACAATTCTCCCACACCAGTCACTCAAGATACGCCCTATAAGCTTGCTTACTGGCAATCTGACAGAGGCATTTTCTCGGTTGAGTTTCTTCTTCCCAGATAACTCTAGCTTGTGACAAGTTGACGCAAACAAACAAATCACCACCTGGCAGGACAGGATCCTTGCAGTTCAGCCACTCAGGACACCCTAGGACTCTTCCCACTCATGACATGTAGCCTGCATTGGAACTTCTTACAGGTCAGGCTTACACAGACTGGCGTGCACACTAGGCACCGAGAGAGGCAGGCGTGGTTCTGACAGAGACGGCCAGGTTCCCGGCAGAGAGCAACCCCCTCCTCTCTTGCTGCTCCTATTCCAAGCGTGGGGGGGGGGCTTCTCGCTCAGGTGTGTGACCTGGCCCTCCCTGACCTCTCATCTCCCTTTTCCAGCCGTCAGGAATGACAGGAACAAGAAAAAGAAGGAGCCTTCAAAGCAGGAATGCACGGAGAGCTATGAGATGACGGCGGAGCTGGACGACCTCACAGAGAAGATCCGTAAAGCCCACCAAGAAACCTTCCCCTCACTCTGCCAGCTGGGTAAATACACCACGGTAAGAGCCACCTGCCCAGGATGCCAGGGGCGTGGGCACAGGCCCTTGGGCACCCAGATAGTTGCCATGTAGTTTCCTGTGCTTGGCAAGGATGCTCGGCCCGTCTAGCCCTGGGCCTGCCTGCCAGGCAGGCAGGACACCTGGTGGCTCTGTCTCCCACCTGTAGCATCAGGACAGGGGCGAAGGCAGTTTTTCACCACGAACATCTACTGTGTGAGGTGATGGACTGCATGCAGCGCAAATTAGTTGTGCTTGTGTCTCTTCCTGGGGACTTCAGTCTGCTCAAGTTAGAAATTTAGCATTTAGGTTGTGGCAGACAGCTTACCTGGAGAGGATCTGGGGTCCATCTTCTCGATATCAATCCAGCTATAGATTCCAGGCAGGATTATGGGGCCATCAACTCTCTGGGTCATGGTCTGGCTTCTAGGAGGGGTGTGCATCATCACAAGAAAGCCCGGAAGGGTACAGGACAGGGTGATCTGGGCCCCATGTATAGGCGGTCCCATGTGTTCTACTCTTTGGTAAGAAATGGCTTTTACTGAGGTTACAAATCAAGAAAGGGGCGGAGAGAGGGGTAAGAATTGGTGGGAAACTTGGGTTGGAGGATCCAGGTGTCTGGAATGATTCTGCCACAGATAGAACTCACCAACAGGCTCTGGGAAGAAGTACGGCAGCAGTAAATGTGAGTGATTAATCCCCAGCACCTGCAGGCCCAGTTTGCTTTTGCTTTTTCCGTAAGGGAAGTCTCATGTGTGGTTGGCTAGGCAAGAAGAACCTAGAACTGAGGGAGGCTGACTCCTAGGACAGATGTACCAGGTTGGGGTAAGACACTTCGGGGAGTCATGAGACCAGAGTTCTGACCCCCTCCGTTACCTCAAAGCTCAGTTCCCTGTACTATACACACCTGCCTGCCTGCCATGTTCCCATGATGCCTGCCATGTTCCCACCCTACCTTACGTGTTCCAACTGGATGTATTCAGTTCTTACCTGGTATTGGTCTCGGGGAGCTATCTCAGTGAAGTAGCTAGGTAACATGAGGCAACATTTTCCTCCCGTACTGGGGGAGTGGGAATCCACACCCCAGGTCTGAGCAGGGCCATGGCCTCTGACAGTCCCAGGGTGTGCCCCCCTACAGCTCCTGCCTTTGGTGGCTGTCTCTACCTTTTTTTGATTTAGAAATCATGGCTTCCTCTGTCCAGCTTCTCACGAGCACCGTCTCCACTGGCATACATGCCTAGCTGTTATGTGCCAAAGGACATGGGAGCCACAGTGTCTAGGGTGGTGTTTATTGACCAGAAAGATGCTGGTCTCACTAATGGCATCCTCAGCATGGTGGTGCTGGGACCTTGTAGCTGTCTCACGAGAGCATCCAACCAGGAAGGAAATTGCAAACGAAATGCAAAGTTGAGTGACATGAAGTTCTCATCAGGAAATAAAAGAGATGAAGCACCCACCAAGAAAAGCATGGCTGTCACAGCCGGCCTGCCTAGGTGAGCGCCATCCTCTCTGCTTGCCCGGGGATCCTATACAGGCCACTGCCATTCTCCGGACTGTAGCCTCCTCATCAGCCGAATAGAGGCATAATTGCACCTACCTCATGGAGTGTTGTGGATGGAATGCAGAGTAGAGAAGACAGAATGGCCCCATGCCTGGAGCAGTCCAGATAAGGAATGGTTACATTAGGAGCATGTATGTACATGATGTCTCCATCATGGAACACATCACTAGAACACAGAAGACGGAGCAATCTCACACATAGGACCTGGAGAACAACCGGCCTCTTGGGGGAGACAAACAACTCCAGATCTCAGGAGCATGGCTTCTCGGGAGAGGCTCTAAACATTCCCAGAGAACTTTAACTCAATTCTTCTGAGATGTTTCTGTAGCCTACACCCCAAATGCTAGCCCCCAGGAGACAGAGCAGGGATGATCGCCAGACTGGGCTGCACTGTGAGACCTTGACTTCGAGAACCAGGGTTGGGGATGTGGTTTGATGGGGAGAGTCCTAGCCTGGCATGCACATGGCCCTGGATTCCGTCCACAGCTCCATGAAGAAAGAAAAAAAAGAAGAGATTTTTTTTTCTACACTCATTAGCTTAAAAATTCTCAAATAAACCACTGACCTGCCCAGAAGCTGCCAGTCAGCAGTGGGTTTTTAGGCATGGTAGATCTTGCCTCTACTGGTGAGTTGTTTTTTTTTTTTTTTTTTTTTTTTCCCTGAAAAAGATGCCAGCTAGAGAAACAACAGGCAGTCCTCAACAACAGAAGGGGCTGTGCCATGGCAGAAGATTTAAAATGGATTGACAGTGCTGGGCTTTTCCCAAGAAGGCCCTAGGGGTCTGCAGGACACAGCATTCTGGGAAACTTTAGTTCTTCCTCAGAAGTCCAGGGGACTTCCCAAGCAGGCAACACATCCTACCCACAGTGAGGCCTGGCTCAGACCCAGTGTCCTTCCCCTCCCCCATCACCTCTTCTTCCTCTTCATTCCCACCTGCTTCTGAGCATCTTTCCCCCACCCCCTCTCTGTGGCTGCTTTCATCACCAACCCCAGCTCCCCACCTACTGCAGCTGGAAGATAATGTCGGAGCCGTTTCAAGCCTCACGCCTATGAATTCAGCAGCCGGGATACTAAAACACAGGGTTATTTTGTGTTTTATTAACTGCCTTTTGCCTTCAGTTTGCATAATCGTGAGCTGGATTGACAGGCTGTTACTGGGTTGCTCGCTGTTTTAATAGAAGGAGCCGTAGGCACCCTCCCCCTCCCCCCTCGCACGATGGAGCAGCTCAGCCAAAGCTGATGAAGATTTCCTTCACACTGGCTGCATCCAGCAATGCCATTTTTTCCAGATGGATACTCCATTGTGAAGTGATTTCCCACCACGCTCGCCTCTGCCCCTGTCTTCCGTGGCATCTTTCTGTGAACTGGATAAACTGCCTATTAAATTTAATTACAGCCCAAATGGCCACATGTCTCGATCTTGCCCACACACACTCCTAAGTGTAATGTGTTCCACAAAGATCCTTGAGGAAGACGTAAACTTAATCTGGAAGATGCATGCTTGTTTCTGCGGGGACACTATGGAAGCCATGCTGGCCACCACCATTCTGATGCCTTCTCCGGACTCCCGTCTTCAAACTCTCCCTCTGGATTCCACTGATGTTGGAAGCAAAGCCAGCTTCATTAACTTCTGTGGGCTGACCTGACTGAAACAGGGCACTGAGGCTACTGGTTTGCAATACAGAATTGCATTTGCAGAGATGGGGACTTTTGTCAAGAGAGCCACACACCAGGCCTAGGGAATCTAATCTCTCCTTGCATGGTTCGGTGTATTTTGGAAGATGTCTAGGTTTCTTTCAGGAGAAATGGCCTCTTGGTGTCTCTTCTACAGTGTGACAGTTGTTCTGTGACATCTCAGGCAAGCAAAGGCTTTTAAGACTGTCACTCAACTTTCCTGGGCTCTCCTAAGTGCTCGCTGAGTCACCTGCATTGTAGACAGCGGCAAACCGAGCAAACGAGCCAAGGAAGGTGTGACCCACAGACTTAGAGGTGAGCTCTAGAATCTGCATAGGATATGAAGGAGAGAAAGCTGGTAGGTGAGCAGTCTTTACAGAAAAAGAATGTTAAGTTGGTCAAGGGCTCGAGGGAGTGCATGATACAGGAATGAGAGGCAACTATCTTAAGAGGAGAAACTGCCAGTACAAAGGCTTGAGGCTGGTCCTTGCCTGACCTTCAGATAAAGCAAAGAGACCTGGAAGACTCGAACTGAGAGAGATGGGGGAGAGAGTGAGCAGGGGCCAGATACCCTCTCATCACCAGAGGTCCGGGCTTTGAGCCTCAGGGACATGAGGGAAATGATGCCAGAGACAAGGGAGGAAATTGTGTGTGAGAGATCATGTGTGTGAAGGAGGTGGTCAGAGGGATGCGGCCTGGGTAGGAGTGGGGCAACATCTAGGCATCTGGGACATTTGACTCACGTATGCTATCCCTAAGACTGTAGCTCTGGGAACCTCATCAGGCCCTACCTCTGAGTTGTGGCCTCATTCACTGATCCGTGGTGTCTTTCACCCTTGTTTTTCCCA